TAAGTGCCTCTGAAGATGGTTTCTTGGAACCGAAACATGTAAGGCAGATGAGATAATTAAGTGATCAAAATATATACTGTTGCACTTGACGGAAAATCTATTGACAATTACTAAAAGAAAGATAAGCCAAAAAGAAAAATGTTCAGTATGTGGTGAAACAGAAGATGCCATGCACATCATTTTAAAGATGTGACGAATATTACAGCTGGAGAAAGAAGGCTCCATACTGGAAATAGAGGTTGTTTCACAAAGCAACAGCTTAAAAGACAACTGAAAACTGTAGTAAAAGAAACTGTCTAAGAGTCTGGGTGATTAATGGTTCAAAGTCAGACATTATGAAAGTGGATTTTCTATTTGAAAATAATAATTACACAATGTAAGGGATCAGACACACTTGTTATGGTACATCTGACTTCATTTAACAATATACTCAGTGACTCAAGACTATGTAACTTACTTACTTACTCATGGAGCAGAGCCCTTCTTGAGGAGCCGCCATTCTGCAACTACTCAAGAATTTCCCAGCATTTTATGGAATCCAAAGGTTCATCACCGTGCTCACAAGAGCCCTCCACTGGTCCCTATCCTGAGCCAGATCTATCCAATCCATACCATCCCATCAAGACTATGTAACACAAAATGATAATTACTCACGAAATGGAAACNATATTGCAGGAAGTGGTAGTTATTTAAAGTATTATTCTGACATTTGCTGGTGGGATTGAGTAATACCATGGAACATGCCATCACAAGAGTTGGTGACTCAGCTAAGATTTGAACCACACATCTCTCAAACAAAAGTTACAGGCCACCTTTCTCAGTGTAAAGTTTGTATCATACACTATGTACTGTTTATACTCGTACAGGGCCCCAAGCTTGTAATAATCAGGTGCTTCCGGAGAGGCAACTTTGTGTATATCACAATATTATACAGATCCACGGTTCATTTATAAACAATATACAAGCCACATAATTATGATACTTAATTCTGCTAATGTGAAATTATGATACTAACAAAAAGTTACTACTGAAAGGAAAGGTCATCGTAGAAATTCGGGAAGTAACCTGCAATGAGCTGTTAGCAAAACAAGCAATGAGAAAAAACAAAATTACTATATACAAAAAATGCATACATACTCCTACTTCTCAATGTACTCGTAAGACTTCTTTGATATAGGCCTACAAAAACCTATTCCCTAATACAACAGATGCCTCAATTCTGGAGGTGACTACACTGAAAACTAGCTTATGTACACATTTTTTGCATATATGAGTAATAATTTGTTTTTTCTCATTGCTTGTTTTAACAGCTCACCAGAGGTTACTTTCTGAATATCCCTCATATATCTATATTTGTTCCTGCTGCTCACACTTGGGGCATAGGGCATCTGGAAATGCTTCATTTCATTTCAGTTTCTTAATATTAGACAGCAAGTAGGACTTAGTGGATCAATACAAATTAACCATACTACTAGAAAATAAATGCATAACTGCAAACATCTGTTTCAAAAACAATGTCAAAGCTTTCTCATCCTGCATTACTTTTTTATATGCAAGATTTACTTATGGCATCATGACCATGTGTCCACGTTGCAGACGCCTTATGAACCAAATGGCAGATTCTCATGAATCTTGGTATCATCAAGTCTCCAGAGGCTATCCATACCTCATACTTTTTAACCACCTATCAATAATACAAAAATGGTGACCACGCAAACTTGTCAGATAGGAGTCACATCAGTGCAGAATCCTGATATTTTGTGTACTATAATGCAACTTTCTGCAGAATATATAAGAAAACATGTTGGCTGCATAAAAACCTCTGAAGGTATGTTTAGATTCAGGCTTGCTGGCAATAACTAATGAACAATGGAGCTAGGGATGTTAAATTTCATAGGGAACTAGATCATAAGCATAACTACAAATTCTATATGAACCATTTTTCATGTGTTAACAGCCAGAAACATATTATATTTCAGCATCCTGTTGTATAGATGTATCACTGCTTCACTCATTTCCGTCCCTATTCCAACCCAAAATCATTCACAATCTCTCCTTTATTCTAATGGCATTTAAAATAAAGGAGACGTTCTAAACAATTTTGGGTTGCATTATAGTTGGAAATAAGTGAATGAGTTAAAAATACGCCACTTATAAGAAACTCTGAGATTGAAATCATGTTGTGAGCTCTAATCTGAAACTAACAGGATAAATTAAGTGGACACGCAATATATCTGTGGACAAAATAAGCCAGCAACACACCAATACAACTGCTTGAATTCATCTCCATGAATAGAGTACGACATATGTGCATAAATTCTATCTGTATTTGCTTCCTGTTAGTTTGAAATATATTCAGCAACAAAACAATGCAATCCTTCGTGAGATATACGCACGTGTGATGTCATCAGTCACCTCGATACACCCTACTAGAAAATAAAGAGGAATGTGTTAGAAACGACTTGGAACTCCAGTGGAAAATTCCCAGAATGCCTTCATGTACAGAATGGGGTGTACACTAATTTTAATTTGTCCACCAAGACTGTTAAGAGCTTCTTCAATGTCATGGTTAACACCATTCCTTCTTGAGCATAAATCTACTGTACTAACGGAATGTGTAGAATCGATTGGGGATATACTCTTTCCTGACATTTCCGTAATTAATTATGTAATGCCCATAAGTTATTTCTGAACAGCAATAATGTTCTAGCATAAATATGCATGAATCACATCCCCCTTCAGTATAACAAACCTCTAGACTTTCCTAATTCTTCTAAATAATTCTATTCTAATAAGGATTCACTTTCTCTGCGATTAATCAACAACAAAAACGATTCATGTATCAATACTTTTGGTTTACTGCTGTATACAGCACAATTTCTGTAGCGAGTACTTGAAGTCACATGAAAGTTCATGCAGCCACAGCAGCTTGAAAAACATACCAGAAATCAAGATTTCTAACAACAAATTTTACTTTATTTTAGATTACTGTAAAACCAAAGTGCATTTTATTTAATAACAGAAGAGGTTATGACAACTCTGCCTGTGACTTGAATACACATATGAGCACACATACATATATATTATGAACCTACACCCTGAAGAATGTCACCTTCATTTTTAATGACAGGCAACGGATTATGTTATCCTAACTATCAAATCTGTTGTGACAGCCATGGAGGATCACAAGCATGAGCAGCAAGATCCTGCGATTTAAACCCCTTGTACTGTCATCTCTGGGGCCATGAGGAGGGACTAGTCTATATACAAAGAATGAAGAGAAGCACAATGCTTAGGTGATTTATATATCTGAAAAATCCCCACATTTCTAAGAATGTAAAACAGTGCATTGAAATGCACATTCAAGACACACTGAACAGTTTACAATATAGCAAGCTCAGACGTGCATTCCAAGTGACAGGCTCACAATCTGAACAGTTTTGGCATCATGCTTCATTATTAACAACACTTGTTTTTGTTTTGTACTGAAGTGATATTGAATTCTTTCATCAAAAACCACTATTTCTGGTACATTTTTATCTGACTTTAATACTGCCCTGGCTCCTTAATCTTTCGCAAACTGGACCCATGTTAATGGGACTTCTCTTAGTAGACTCCACCTGAATATGTATAACAAACTACCTTAACACAAAACTGGCTGGCGCTCTTTTAGTTTCTATCAATATAAATGAAGAATTAATAATTTACATGCCTCTGGTTCAGGACACAAGTGTTTAAATTCAGAAATTACATGAGAAAACATGGCATGTTTTGAACAGTTCATCAAATTTCAGCCTGTTCTGAAATCTGGCTGTTCAAACAATACACAGAGGAGCTATACAGTAATGGAATCACAGCAAATTGTTTGGTCACATCACTTTCTCTTACTCTAAAATCAATGTGATAAACTTCAGTGTTCCACAGAATTCTACTCAAGAAAAGCAAGATGGGTGTGAGAAGTGAAGTATAGGTATCCCTGTAACAAGCCGTGGAGGACCACAGGGTTGTAAGATGTTGAGGTTCCCATATTTTCTAGACAATCAGCTCATAGATGATCGCAAGGTTGTCAGCCCTACGCACCAGCCGCCCTTTACCCCCAACAATATTCCAAGAGTATTCCTGGTACTCAATTCTGCTAGAGGATGAGTTAACCCCAGGGTCTTAGTGCAGTTGGAAGGGTTAGGTCAACTGAAAAAAATCCAATGACCTCATCAGGACTTGAACCCGTGACCTTCAGGCTTGTAGCATAGTGCCTTGACTAACTATGCTACCATGAAATTAAAAATGCAACAAGAAAGAAATGAAATGTTGCCGCAGTACAGTGCAAATTCCCCAAGGAAAAACCCCCACCAACACACATGCACTCAATAAACACGCATGAAAACTGAAATTCTGTTAGCTTACTTTTGACATCCTCATGTGGCTGTACCATATTATTTTCTGGAACTGCATTAGATTGCAGTTGCCGAGAAGCAAGCCCAGGATACCTCGATCGTACACCAGGGGTGAGAGCAGGAGCACCAGCTGCTTCAGGAACAGTTACTGTAGCTGTCTCAGAATTCTGAAAATACAAAATGATTGTGTACTGTTACATCATCACAGGGGAAATTAAATTAAATCCCACTGTTCCCTACAGAAACTTTAAATAGAGACTTCCCTGTATATAGTGTCTAAGGACAGGATGATTAGTAAATAATGAAACAGAAAGGATGTGTACACTTATGGTTTATTTAACAATCTACAAGTCTTGGCTACAATTAATTATAACAATGTTGCAGGGTTTCACACTTTATAACCCTATTCGCAACAATCTCTTCACACTGTTGCAGAGTTTCACACTTTATAACCCTATTCGCAATAATCAATTCACACTATCACGATTCACTCGTTACAACTGAACTCGGTGACTACTACAATTCAACTCTTAGGCTGCTGCCTTGAGAACTCGTTCACTGCTGACTAACTGCTGGCTAGCTCATAACTAACTCGTAACTGTTGCCTTGAGAACTGTCTTCAGCGGCTGTCTAGGTTCCTTATATAATTTTCATTTCGTGCATCCTGTTGTGTTACAATATATACTTGTACAACTTATTTATTTGACCGTCACAACACAACAATTAAAGAACTTCAAGGACAATGCCCAGATATAGTTCTGTTACATGTTTCGGCCACTAGTGGCCATCATCAGGCAGACACAATTCAACAAACAATTAATTATTAATTAATTATTGGGCCTCCTATACAATTTTATAAAGAAACATCGAATTTACTATTTGTCGATGGAAACGTATGAAAAGTGAAAAAAACGACTGATTTCATGTTCTGTTCTATGTTTCGGCCACTAGTGGCCATTATCAGGCAGACACACTTCAACAAACAATTAATTATTAATTAATTACTGGGCCTCCCATACAATTTTACAAAGAAACCTCGAATTTACTATTTGTCGACGGAAACGTATGAAAAGAGAAACCAACGACGGATTTGATGTTATAAAACATCAATCAAATTTTAATTTTGTTTTTTATATATGACTTTTTATTGGTTTTAAATAACCTCTGATTGTATTCTTATTGCAAATTATCTTAAATGATTTATAACATTGTATCAAATTCTGCGTACTGCAATTCAGTGGTGTACGTTTGTTGAATTGTGTCTGCCTGATGATTGCCACTAATGGCCGAAACATGTAGCAGAACTACAGCTGGGCATTGTCCTTGAACTTTTTTAACTGTTGTGTTGTGACGGTCAAATAAATAAGTTGTATATTTCCTTACACAGTCGCAGAGTTTGCCTGTTACGAAATAGGTTCCGCTGTAGCCTGACGCAATGTTACGTAACCGCGAGGAGAGGGGCGGGGTGTTGACTTGCCTATTACGATAGTAACGTCAGCGTTGCGTTCCGATGCCACCACATACCGCTGGGGTGGGAGGGGGGGGGTCCTCCATTGCGCAATAGGTCGTAATACTTAAAATTGTAAGCTATCAAGGTCTCAAAACCTGGAGGTGGATAACATTACGGTAACAAAACAAAGTTCATGAATGGGCAGATTATTCATCAAAATCACACATCAGGACAGACAAAATAATTCAGATTCAGCATTTCTATACACATTTACTCTCATGTATATCAGCTGTTTCCGGAAGCATGCGGTAGCATAATTGGTTGAGGCACTACGCTACAAGCCGGAAGGTCATGGGATTGAATCCCTATGAGGTCACTGGATTTTTTCAATTTACCTAATCCTTCCAGCCGCACTATGGGCTTGGAAATGAATACACCCCAAACGAGTCGCCCCCCGAAAAATCAAAATATGTAATACCGTTTCAAAAACACTGCAGAAGGTTGAAACCATGTTCTGAGTGAAGAGCTAAGTATATATATCTCCAACATTTTTCACGATAGAATCAATGGGGTATAACATATTCTTCGGCTACCTCTTTCTCTACCATTGTCATATTTACCCTAGATGTATTCATTCACACCACACTTAACTCCAACAGAATAAAATCGCCTTAGTTTAGTAATTGTTCACAATTTCATTGGGAAACCATTCACAGATATAACGGAACTAAAAAACAGTTTAACATCTGCAACTCATGATTCCATATTAAACAGGACTTCGGAACACCTTGAAAATTACCTATTAAAACTCCAACACTAACATACTGATATGTTTCCTGCAAAAAATATTTTAATATCTGTAGAAAATAACTTACCATTCTGTCACCACGTCTTCTCCTCAGCTGCGACTAACTGAATATGACTACCAACGTATCAATATCTATGATGAAACACGGCCCCTAATTGGTCGCCAGCTAACACTATATAGTATAGCACTTCTCAATCTCCAATCACATCGTTTGTAACATCGTTGTAACTTCTACATCAGCCGATAGGTGTCACAATCGTCACAATGAAAAAAAAAAGCGGCTTCGATTTGGAAATAAATTTTAAAAATAAGAAATAGGCACCACTAATACTAAATACATATATATAAAATTGTTTGCCATGTAATACGGTTCTTAAAGTTTTAAAAGTAACTGATTTAATATGACAAGGTTATCTAGGCGATCTAGGCCAAATGGGCAGCTTTTGCAGTCAAGGTGAAAGGCAAAATGAGTGCAAGGAAAGAAGATGGCGGACTCCGATTAAGTGGTATACACTATTATTATTATTATTATTATTGTTATTGTTATTAAGATATGTTTTCTCAACTAATGATAGAAAATATTCATTACATGCACTCGCAATAGCTTGTGGATATTTAGTAGACTTTCCTTCAATATTCAAACTTTGTACATCTTCATTAACAGTTTTCTTTCCCCATTCATCTTTCACGATATCCCAGGTGCTTTTAATTTTGTTGTTTGATTTTAGAATTTGGTTGTTATAATTATTCTGTTTGGCTTCTTTAATGACTTGACAAGATTTTACAGTACATTTTGTAGTGACTTTTTAGTCTTGGATCATTACTGTCACTACTGGCCAAATATAGATTGTAAAAATAATAAATAGGCACCATTAATACTAAATACATATATATAAAATTGTTTGCCATGTAATACGGTACTTAAAGTTTTAAAAGTAACTGATTTAATATGACAAGGTTATCTAGGCCAAATGGGCAGCTTTTGCAGTCAAGGTGAAAGGCTAAATGAGTGCAAGGAAATAAGATGGCAGACTCTTTTGCTACCTTGGACATATTTACCCTTGATGTATTCATTCACACCACACTTAACTCCAACAGAATAAAATCGCCTTAGTTTAGTAATTGTTCACAATTTCATTGGGAAACCATTCACGGATATAATGAACTAAAAAACAGTTTAACATCTGCAACTCATTATTCCATATTAAACAGGACTTCGGAACACCTTGAAAATTACCTATTAAAACTCCAGCACTAACATACTGATATGTTTCCTGCAAAAAATGTTTTAGTGTCTGTAAAAAATAACTTACCACTCTGTCAACACGTCTTCTTCTCACTACTTCTGCGAATAACTGAAAATGGCTACCTACGTATCCATATCTATGATGAAACACGGCCCCTAATTTGTCGCCAGCTAACACTATATGGTATAGCACTTCTCAATCTCCAGTCACATCGTTTGTCGCTTTATGCGTGAATTATTATTATTATTATTATTATCATCGTCTTCAATTGCAAACATGACCATGGCATATATATACAAACATGGAACTGTAAGTATCCCTGTTTCTCTGAAAACCTCTCTACAAGAACTTCTAGGCCTCATCATTAACATTGCTCTAATTGCTCTCTTCTGAGCCACAAAAAACTCTTTTCATTGATGATGAAGAAGAGCCCCAGAAAATGACACCATATTTAAGTTGAACTTGACAGTAAACACAGTAAGCCATTTTCAACACTTGCCTATTTACTATAGGCTGTAGTTTTCTAAGCACAAAGGTTGCAACACTCAACTTATTTATCACTTCATCAGAGTATTTTTCCCAGCCCAAATGATTGTCCAGGCACACACCTAAAAACTTGACATTTACAGAAAATTTAAGTGTTTGCTCATTATATTTTTTATGTAATGGATAGTCCGTGGCCTTGAGGGTCATAAATTTCATTACATGGGTTTTTAATTTAGTATTAGGCCTAATTGGTTAGCTTGGAACCTTCTATATAAATGTCTCATAACTAACTTTATTTTGTTATTAAGGCAACTAATATCCTGTGAAGAGACAATAAAAGTGGTGTTGTCAGCATATAGAACTGTATGTGCCAATCCATTTACAATGCATGCATGATATTTTCATTTGCAACCATCGACAACGTGTTGATCATCGCCTTGCTGTTCTTGGCGAGATCTCATAACGACGACTCGTAATCTTCCGCTACCTTGGCCATTATTACCATCGATGTCTGTTACTTTCGTAGTTCTCCAAAAGATTCACACCACACTTATCTACAACACAAAAAAGTCAATAGTCGGGCATATTTACCCTCGATGTATTCATTCTCACCACACTTAACTGCAACACAATAAAATCAATGGTTTACATGATAAATGTCATTGGTATTACCAGCACTATAGCCTCTGAAATTGAGGTAATAACCCCCTTATATTACATGACTGCTTCAATTGATCATCACGAGAATTTGATATGTATATCATCGCACCTGAGACCACATAAATGGTGTATGCAAGAAATCCCTGTCAATAATTGTACCAACACAACAGCCTCTCAAATAGAGGTAATAACCTTAGTATTACCTGAGTGCCAGAACCAATAAGAAACTTCAGATATACATCACAGCATGTCAACAGTGTACCCATAAGTCACTCAAATCAGTAATACCAACACTGCAGCCTTCCAAACTGTATAATAAGTGGAAAAACGAATGTGATTGCATGTGATTGTGCAACTGTGTTCGTACACCTGAGGATGACCTCTTTGAGGTCGAAACATGTAGTGTGACAATGATAAAAACGTGTTGTGTGGTCGGTGAAATTAACTCTAATATTGTATTGTTTTATTGACTACATTATGCATACATAACAAAATTTTCTGTTTACTTGCAGTATCACATACTAAAGTTATACTGAAAGGAAAGTAGAGTTCTTCCCAGAACTTCCACAAAATATTCTCAACAAACATTTTTTCTTTCATTAATATACAATGCAAAACTGATGTGTGATGTAAAATACAGAATTATGAACAACCCGAGTTTCAGCGCTCTGAAACGTCCTCTTTAACAACCTATCTTCAAAACAATAGATTGCCTACAACAACATATTCATACTACATCAATTGAAAGCTGTAATGTGGTTCTCCATCGTGTATGTTCCTACACATGATAGTGTAACATTCTGAAACTTCCAAGCTTCAAGATGCGACAATATGAAACATAACATTAAAATAATGTTCTGAAGACGCTTTTACACTGACTAGACGATTATGTGGGCATGAATGATATATTTATCAAGAAGCATGGTGCCATGTTGACCAGCGGCTTGTTCTTTATGGGGAGCTCAGACAGTGAGGGCGCATATACTAGAGCTCTTTTGCTACCTTGGACATTTTCACAACCAATATAATGTCACTTCTTCAAACCATTCACGAAACACTTAACTGTATTACAATAAAATATCCTAAATTCAGTAACTGTTCACGATTTCGTTGGCAAACCATTCACAGATCTAAGAGAACAAAAACAGCTTGAAAATGGTCAACATTTGTAACTCACTATTCCATATCAACCAGGACTTCGGCACACCTTGAAAATTACCTATTAAAACTCCATTAACATACAGAGATGTTTCTTGCAACAACTGTTTTAATAACGGCACAAAATAATAGTTTTTCACACAAATAATACTCCTGTCACCAACTCAATCTGCTATGATTACAAATACCTCAAAATGGCTACCTATGTATCCATATCCATTCATTCATAGCTATATTATTTAACTATTTTAATATTTTTGTTATTCTGTTTTTTTATTATTGTAGGTGTACTCCTTGTCCTAATTTATTTACCTGTTTTATTATTTTTCTTATATTATTATTCTGTTTTATTATTATGGGTATATTCCTTCTTATTTTTCTCCATATTACTCTGTCCAGTACTGAACTGGTGAACATGAATATAAGATTTCCAATAATCATTGTATTTCCTTAAGATATGTTATTAATTATGCCAAATATTCCTGTCCAGTACTGTAATGGAAGATAAGTATCAGATTTCCAATATTGTGTAAGATATTATAAAAGGTTAATTAATTCCATCCAGTGTGACTGATGTCACTGATGCCTAGTCACAGTGGACAAATAATTAACCTTTTATAATATTGTTAGTGTGACAGACCAGGATGAAACAAATAAAAAATCTGTAAGATATGTTGTTATATTTGCAATTAATTCTTGTCCAATATTGTAGTGGAAGATGAATATCAGATTTCCAGAATCCTGTAAGATATGTTATTAATTTTGCCATATAATCCTGTCCAGTACTATAATGGAAGGAATATCAGATTTTGGGTATTCTGTAAGATATTAATTTTGTCAGATAATCCTGTCCGGTATTCTGTAAGATATGTTATTAATTTTGCCATATAATCTTGTCCAGTACTGAAGTAGAAGATGAATACCATGTTTCCAGTATTCTGTAAGATATATTAATTTGCGTATCCTCTGCATTACTGAAATGAAAGATGAATATTAGATTTCCAGTATTCTGTAAGGTATGTTACTCTTTCCCATATAGATTTCAGTATTGTAATTCTGTAAGATAAGTTGTAATTTTGCCATGTAATCGTGTCCAGTACTGAATGTCGTCATAATGAAAATAATAAATGGAAACGTCAGTACTACTGCTTGCCATATATGATTTATAATGCTTTAATGTAACCAAAAAACTATGTTCTCTGTGGCTTTCAAGTGTAAGTTTTTACCAAAGGTGTGAGGTTAAATAGAAGTATGTCTGACGAAAACAGAATTTTCTTTCCCCACCTTCAGCTTTCCTAAACACAAGTATTCTATGTATGTTATAGTTCTCAATGTCCAGTGCATTTGGGTAAGGTGATGTTGGATTCGTACGAATGAAATGTTATGACCTTACAGGCACTGGGGAGAAACTTTCTGACTTTGCAACGCTGACCCTTTGTGCTGCAGAGATTCCTATTCCGTTCTGTTTTTTCTTTTTCTGGATGTGGTACAATATCACTTCACTCGTATCCTTTGGAACGGATACGAGGGAAGTGATATTGAACCCCAACCAGAAAAAGAAAAAAAACAACGGAGCAAGAATCTCTGCAACCCAAGAGATATGGTTGCAAAATTATTTATTGCTATTCATGTGAACTAGTGGTTTCGTCGGTGGAAGAGGGTTTCAGGGGGGGAGGGGAGAACGCATAGGATGGTATGGTAGCATTCTATTTTATTGATCAAGCTCTCGGTGTTGGTGGCCATTTCTCACTTAGTTAGGGTACGTCCGCGTAGAGATGGTAGGAGTAATGCCACATGACGTCACCGCGATCATGTTGCCCAAAAGTAACGAACAGTTTCCGGGGCCGGGGAATGTTCCAAGGTGTTCCAAGGGGCATAACGTCGTGTACGGTCGTGTAGTCCGTTGGAAGCGGTTGAACGTCAACCGAAGTTTTGGAGTAAGAAATCGCCTCCATTTTCAGGGTCGAAGAACAAGCCAAGGAAGAAACCAACATGAAGCAGGTAGCAAGCAGAGCTCTGAAGACATCTTCCTCCGAAACGTCGGCCGTTGTATCCTAGAAGATAGAACTCTTCATAACTACCGCTGTGTGAACTAATATGTTTGCTTTCCTCACGGATTCCGTTCGTTTCGGCACGGCGTGCTGTGTGAATAAGGCTTAAAACTGGAAGGAAGTGGAGTAACTACTCGCACAATAAGCAGTTTTATTGTATTTGTCTGCTTATTAACAGGTACCTGAACTCTTTTCCTGCAGAAATTCACGGTTCACGACTAGCTTAGCGAGCTTAGCTACAAACGCTACAAATACGGCTCTCTTTTCAGTTGGTGGTTGGAGGACGAAAGAAACCGAATATCATGAACGGCCGGGGGCGGGGGTGTACGTTACGCAACCTGTGTATTCGACTGTAAAATGGCGAGCAGTTCGTTGAAAGCGGTGCAGAGTGTATTCAAAGCAATGGTTTCTTCCAAAGGCTTCGATAGAGTATTAGATAAGGTAGAATAAGGGTTGGTAGCTGAACTACTTGGATTAAAATTGTTTTATGTATTGTAAGATTGTAACGTTGCACCAAAATACCCCACATTCCAGATTTTGGGAGTAGCATAATAAATTGACCGTAGTAGTTCAAAGCACTTTGAACTCCTTCCTGTGCACTTCGGTTTTAAAACGTAATAATGACATGCGTTTTGAGAACAACACATTGAAACAATGCTCAGAATTGAAGATTAAATTTTAACCCCCCCCCCTCCAATGAAATTAGACTTTTTATTTCTTAAAATATACCATCACTTTAGTTATTTTGTGTGGGAGAGGAATTTGATGTCACTTTGAGAAATGTGCAGATGTGCAAGGAATGTGAAAAGGTTTGAACTGAACTGAGCTGAGCTGACTACAGAAATTTTATATGCAGAATTTATCATCAGTGTTAATCATAAGGAAATTATACTAACAGGCATGAAATGGAACAGCATAAGCATAGTAAGAAGTTGGAATACAAAATTTAGGGAGAAGCGGAAAATGTGTGAAGTGCTGTGTTGAATGTTGTGCTGTTGGATTAGTATTATCATCTTGCCTTATTGGCTGTGGAACCTATGAGCAAGGAGAAACTTAAAAATATTGGACCCAAGCCAAACCCACATAGAAACATAGGACATAATACTCAGAACATGGAATACAATCTTGTTGAGTCAAAATTTAATAGAAATACGTATATAGAATACAAGCAGAAGTGAGCATGCCGGTATGAGAACAGATACAGACATTTGATGAAAAGGCAGCCAAGTTAGTGTTCCTATGTTTATTTTCTCTTGAAGTTAGACGTTTGCTGCCTACATTGACTGCATTAACACCCCCACCCCCAATAGAATCAGACAGTTATGCTGCCATTGTTAGGGATTAAAAAATTCAATCACCAATGTACATGAAGGGCTTTGATTATGTGAAGAGAGAAGTCACCCTATGAACTATTTCCTGTTCTTTCAGCTACACAGGGCCAGTTAAAGGAAAGCAGGAATGGTTTAAATATATACATAGAGATAGGAGAGCAGATTAGTGTACACTGGGAGTATTACTACCATTGAAATTTTGACATTGCATTGTTACTGATTAATGTCCAAGCAGCGTGTAAAAATATATCTGTTTTCGACAGTGAGAGCTTAATAGGTTGATGTAGATGCTGAAGTGTGACAGAAGATTCTTCAGAAACAGCAGTAAATGTTGATTTTTTATTGACTTGAGTGGAGAGGTGTAGGTACATTTTGCACATCCTGGCGCACACTAACTGTTTGATGTGTGAGTCACAAACCATGCAGTAGTTATTAAAATAATTACTAGTCTGTGACCATCAACTGTTTTATGGATCACATGTCCTAGATGCATGGCAGTACAAATGTGCTCAGGCCTAATTCATGTTTTGTGATAATAAGTAAGATTGTAGGATTCTAGGTTCTCACAGTGTCTTTTATGGAGAATCTTTTTGTATTGTATATAATGCCATTTAGTCAGTTGAAAGTCAACCAGTAATATGAGAAACATGTCACCTCCATCCTCACAGTCGATGAATAAGCCAAGTAAGAAACCAACATGAAGCAGATAGCAAGCAGAGCTATGAATTGTGTCCCAGAAGATAGGACTCAATTGGAACTGCATAGCTCAGTCCATATAGTGTGGGGCTACTGACTGGATGAACAGGATTTGATTTGCAGCAGGGCCAAGGGTTTTTTTTTCTCTACTCCATAGTATCCAGATCGGCTCTGACCCTGACCTGTATCTCATGCCAAGGTCAAGCATGGTGTAGCTATAGCTCCATTCCCCCACATCTTCATGTCATGGTACTTAATTAAGCACAGAGACAACTTTACTTAGAACTGCTCAGTTTTTATCTATAGTTAAATGGCTGGAATTGAACTGAAACTGGAATAAGCTGTATTTAAGCAATGTACATGCAGAATTATATTCAGTAAGTTATTCTAGAAGATAGGATGGTAGTGTATTGTTTGGAATTGTTACAGAATTGACATCTGCAGTATTTACTATAATTTTATCAAACTACCAAATTGATATTTGTATTTTTGTACAAGAACAGATTGTACCATGGTTTATAATCTGGTGAATAGCAAATCATTTGAAATCTTAAAGCTTTTGGCAACCAAATTCTCTTCCTTTTGAAATGAAGTCAAAGCCATATCTGTTAGACCTTGCTGCTCCCTGCTGTGATGGAGTTGATTTCTGGTGTAGGGGCAGATGAAAGCAGCAGCATGTTGACGTTTCCTGGAAAATGGGACTTCAGTGTTCAAACCACCTGTTGTTCCTGACTGTTGACGTCTCAGAAGAATCTGCTGCTCAAAGTTCTAACTTTGTCAGATGTAAGAGTAGGGAAGGACTTCGGTATTCGTCTACCAAACTACACAGTTGCACTTACCAAAAGATCACAACCATGGGAGTATTTTTATTTGTATTAATATCCATTAACTGCCGACACAAATCAGACTACAGATATCACATTAGACATTCAGAAATTATTTGTTCTTGAATTTGTTGAATGTTTACCACATAGAACAGATATTTCAAATAGAAGTTGTAGGCATTGAAGACGTCTAAAACAAGGAGATGCTTTATTTCCACTGCTTTTTGACTTTGCATTAGAATATCACATTGGACATTCAGAAATTATTTGTTCTTGGATTTGTTGAATGTTTACCACATAGAACAGATATTTCACATAGAAGTTGTAGGCATTGAAGAGGTCTAAAACAAGGAGATGTTTTATTGCCACTGCTTTTTTACTTTGCTCTCCCCAATCTGTTTCACTGTAGCATCAGAAACACGTGGCCAACCAGGTGGCTTGGTATGGCGCACAGAACATCCGGTCTGAACAAAATTCTTGTGCCAAGAGTAAATTGTAGGCCTACTGAGAGGTTCCTTGCGGTACTGAGTGCAAAATTTCCTTTGAACTTGTGTACCACACTTCGTTCTTCGAACCAAAACACACAAGCACGCTCTGCACCTGTGAAAGTTACCATCTTGATTTCAACTGCAGGAGCACTCGCGGTGGCAGTATTGGGTACTACAGTAACATGTGCATGAAACTCAGTGTGTTTTGCTATATCATGACAGTTCAAAACCTAGTGTATGTCCTCTGTATAAATTTATATAAGCTTTCAAAGTTGTAAAGCTCGTTTTGAAACCCCCTGTACTTGCTACCATTCAGTCCACAAGCTTTTGCCTTCTCATCTTCTGTCTAAAAACATAAAACTTGGAATATACGAAACTGTGATTTTGTCTATACTGTATGGGTGTGAAACTTAGTCTCTGACATTAAGGGGGGAACATAGACTGAGAGCGTTTGAGAACAGGGTGATGAGAATATATGGGCCAAAGAGAGATGAAGTGACAGGAGGTTGGAGAAAGCTGCATAATGAGGAGCTTCATAACTTGTACAATTTACCAAGTATAATTAGAATGATCAAGTTAAGGGGGATAAGATGGGCAGGACATGTAGTACAAATTGGGAAAAGAGGCATGCATATAGGATATTAGTGGGAAAGCCAGAAGGAAAGAGACCACTGGGAAGACCAAGACATAGGTGGATGGATAATATTAAAATGGGTCTTAGAGAGGTGACACTGGTATGTACTGAATTGTTCTGGCTCAGGATAGGGACCAGTGGAGGGCTCTTGTGAACATGGTAATGAACGTCCATGATATGTATGCAGTGTCTGTCTTGTAGTGCACTCAGTTTCACCCGTTACTTCACGACATGTTTCAGCAACATAGTGCCATCATCAGGTGCTTCATTTATGCTAATCTATTGCACTGCTTGCAATTATATGTCATTGTAAAATATTTAAAAAGTATTCGTCAACTATAATAAATTTTTATACAGTAAAAACTTGATAAGATTATTCATCTTATGTGTCCCAATTCAAACCCATGCATGATTCCTCCGCTATGGGAGTCGTTACTCTTACACTCCGTGTATATCGTGTCTCGTGATGTGTGTTCCCTTTTTGGCTGCGGGTGTTGCCCGTTACCCAAGGATATCAGTTGAATGAGAAATTTCAGAACTGGTAATTGAGAACTAATTTGTAATGGCTGAGAAACACACACACATTTGAAGTGAAGAGGCCTCACATAGGTTGGTAGGTAGGTAATAACTTTTTGGAGAATCTTGCTGCATCCATCTTCAGGGTACAAGAGTAAGCAGTGTGGAGCAAAGAGATACAGCTTTAGAGGCAAGAGTTCCATGGGCAGAGCTATGAACTAAGCAGTAGGATCTTTTGGCTTATTTTGGACTTCATCCATCGTCTGGTATGTAAAAGACAAAAGACATACCAGACGATGGATGAAGTCCAAAAGAAGTACAGTATACACCATCGTCACAATCCTTTCAAGTCTATCTAACCAGTAGGAGTCAGTTGGCTCTTAAAAGGACAGTTTTTTAGCAGTGGGGAGTGTCCATAGGTCAGGTTCATGAAGGCAGTAGAAAGAGAATTAACAATTAAAGTGGAACTTAAAGAAGAAGGGTGTGAAGATGTAGACTGGAGTGATTAAGCTCACGATGTGGGCCCAGCAGCAGGCCCTTGTGAACATGATAATGAAGCTTCCAGTTCCATAAAAGGTAGGGAATTTCTTGCTTAGTTGGGCAACTGTTGGCTTCTCAAGAAGGGCTCTGCTCGAAGGAGTCAGATAATCTAAGAACAGTATCAGTGCACAATCTCTCTTCCTCATGTGTCCACAGTCATGTCTTCACTGCCGTTGCTTGCTAGTGGCTTCCAATGGCAGACGTTCCCTCTCCTCTCGGTTCCCAAACTATCCCCATGCCTCAGCTACCAGCTTCTAACAGCAGCAGCTCACAACGGCTGAACCCTAGCCATTCTGTAACTGAAACTGAAGTCAAAGTCACATTACAACTGACAGTCAGTAGGCCAGGCTGTCTTGAGGAAGCTGCAACTGGTGCTAACAGGCCGTGAAATAGCTCAAGCGATTAGTTGCTGGCTTTCCACCGCAACAGCCCAGGTTTCGGTCCCGGGTCTGGTCAAGTGGGATTTGTGGTGGACAAAGTGGCACTGGGGCAGGTTTTCTCCGAGTACTTCGGTTTCCCTTGCCAATCTTCATTCCACCAAATTCGCCATTATAATCACCCGGGGTAGGCTACAATAGGCCAATCAGTGGCCGCCATGCCGAGTGGACCCAGCTGGACTCCACCCCCCACTAAGTGAATTTAAAAAAAATTTAAAATTTAACTGGTTCTAACACCTCAACACAGACAGTGTAGGGAGTGTGTCTTCTGTTATTGCTCTGTTCTCTCATTGCCATTGAAACATACTTGTTTGCGGAGCCATTAGATAGCAGTGGCCGTTGTATAGTTGCTGTTTTCACAGTTATTGCTTAGGAACTGGTCTACATGCCACAATATATATATACACATTTTATTTGGAAGGTTATCTTCAAAATTGAATGGAAATTGCAATGTTGGACAAGTTAATTGGTACTAAAGAGTACTGCCTCCTGGGATATGACACCATATAGTCTGGTATAAGCCTGTTTTGAGGGAACAAGCTGCTCCTTCATAGTGACAGAGTAAGGCCACAAGATGCAGGCACAGTTGTCACTGCGAGAATCCCAAATCAATTCAGTACCTGGTTTAAATTTTATTAGTTTGAAGTAAGTTTTTAAAACAGGAAAACATAGGCGTTTTGAGGTTCTTTTGTCAGTAAAGGTAAAGAAAAAAAAAAGTAAACCTGGCCCTCTGCTTCATTAATTAAGCATTATGCCATGAAGACATATGGGGGAGTGGAAGTATAGCTCCACCATACTTGACCTCTGCACAAGATGGAGGTTGGTGATTTGATTTACAGCCCGGCCACTTTACCCTCGGAGATATCGCTCCTGGTTCCCACTGGATAGAAGGCTGGGTGAGCCTAAAGGCCAGTGTGGACACTGTGAAGAAGAGAAAAATCTTCCCCTGCCAGGAATTGAGGAGCACACAGTAGTGTAGTTGGTTGAGGCACAGTGCTACAAGCCAGAAGGTCACAGGTTCAATTCCCGATGAGGTCATTGGATTTTTCAATTGACCTAATCCTTCCAGCTTCACTATGACCCTGGGATTGACTCAGCCTGTAACAGAAATGAGTGTCAGGGATCTCCCTGGAGGTAAAGGGCAGCCAACATGTAAGGCTGACAACCTCACCCCCACCTATGATCTGATTGTCTAGAAAATGTGGGAGCCTCAACATCTCACAACCCTATGGGCATCCACAGCCTGTTACAGNCACAGGAATAGTTACCTCTTTTTTTTTTTGCTGGAAATTGAGCCAGGGCTGTTGAGTTCATGGCCCGTCGGTATACTGACTGAGCTGTCCTGCCTCCCATTCTTATGTCAGTGGATACCAAAATTAAAGTGTTCCTGGATTGAACATTAATGAAGTTCATATGTTAGTACCAGAGTTTTTTCTATTCTCCAAATGGGGCTAGAAGGCTCCTACACAGCATTCGTACCTATCTACTAACTACAGAACACATGACACCATAATCTGAGGAAAACATGCTTATTTTCCCTGGAGTTAGAATGTGTGTTGTGTGCAGAATATATAACTTATCTAACCTCCTCTTTAATAGGTAATTGGGGCTGGGGTGCTTCCTGTTGTGTCAGAATGCTAAGCTGAAAGTGTCACCTTCTTGTCCCAACAGCTGTTTATGTTTTGATGTGTGTTGCAGGTGAAAATCATCAGTGCAGGTGATGGGAACTGCCATGCTGAACTGGTGGTCGGACCTGAGCACAAGAACAAGATAGCTACTCTACATGGAGGAATGACAGCAACACTGGTTGATACGTTATCAACAATGGGTCTACTCACACACAAAGTAGGGGTCCCAGGTGTGACAGTGGATCTGCATGTCTCGTAAGTCTTGTGAAAGCATCCATCAGGATCCAAAAATTAACGTCTCTTAGATTCCTGTGGGTGTGAAACATCAACGGATAAAAAGCACTTGGATCTTACCTCTTCATAATTGTGTTCAGAACAGTCTGATAACCATCCATCATATCAAATAAGTGGGCCAGTTGACTCTCATAAGCAGGACAAGGTTGTTCATAGTTCTACTGAATTCCTCCAAGTGAATGCAGGAAAGGTACATCAAAGTGGTCATTTCTGCATGCTTTTCTCGAACTGAATAACTTCTTGGTCAAAAAGTATACTCAGTTTTTCCCACATTTACATGGCAGTAATATACCTCTGTCAGTTATGTACAACTTTGTCATCATCACTAGCGGTCAACAAATGTTGGCCTAGGTCATCACTTCAACATGCCAGCCATATCTAATTGGGAGAGGATTGAATGTGGAGTCCCACAAGGCTCTATTCTTGGCCCCTTGTTCTTTTTACTTTATATAAAATACTGAACAAAGATAAATATATGGTTTTGTATGCGGATGACACGAGTATAATAATTACAGATATAAATAATTCAAATTTTGAAATAAATCTTAATCGAACCGTCAAGAAAATGCACACATGGTTTAGTTCCAGTCTACTTTGAATCTTAAGAAAACTCAGTATTTGAAATTTTGTTCAAGGAAAGGCAGTAAGAGCCCAACTCACATTGTCGTGAACAGGAGGGCATTGCTATCCTACCCAAAACTAAATTTCTTGGATTATGTATTGATGATACTTATTATCCTGGAAAGGCCAAATAGAACAGATTGTTAATAAAATGGCCTCAGCTTGTTATGCACTGAGAAATATATAGGACATATAGTATCAATGGAAGCATTAAAGTTGAGTTATTTCGCCTTAGCCAATTCTGTTATCAGCTATGGATTAATATTCTGGGGTAGTGCAACCAATGTACATAAAGTATTCATAATGCAGAAAAGAATTGTTAGAATCATAACCAACACTAAACCTAGAGTCATGCAGGAAGATTTTCAAGATGATGGGAATAAAGACACTATACTCACAGTATATATACTCATTATTTTTATTTATAGTGAATAATAAAAACTTGTTTCTTATTAATGGTGAGATACATGAATACAAAACTAGAGTTCACAAAGCTATACATATGCCTCCCATGAATCTGACAAAATATAAAAAGGGACCCTATATAACAGGGTATAAAAGTATTTGTCTCCCTCAGTCAATACAAATGTTGGTTAATGAGGAGAAAAGTTTTAAATCAGCACTAAAGAGGTTTTTGTATCATCATTCCTTTTATTTTATGAATGAATAAATATATGTAATTAACATATTTTATGTTTGTATTTGTGAATTGAACTTTTAGTATATTTTAATATTGAAGTCTTGTGAAATGTATATGTTATGGTTGTGTTGTGTAAGCTTCTATGGGTTGTAATTTAAGCGATTTTAACTTGAACAATTTCCACTTCTTTGTGGTTTCATTATCACTGTGTATAATTTCGTTTTATGACTGCTCTGTATGTGACTGAGTTCTATTTTATGAACTGTTCTTGTGTATGTTGTGTATATTGAAATCTCGTGAAATGCATAAACTTTTATGGGTTGTAATTAAATCGATTTTAACTTGAACAGTTTCCACTTTTTGTGTTTTGATTATCACTATGTATAATTTCATTTTATGATTGTTTTGTATGTGACTGAGTTCTATTTTATGAACTGTTCTTGTGTATGTTTTGATTTCATTGTGACTTGTTCAACATCCTAGGCCTCGCCACAAAGGATTTATTGAATTTAAAGAATAAATTAAATGAAAAAAATGAAATATCTCCTCAAGACAGACCATGCCTACACATGCCACTGTAGTTGCTCAGCGCCAGTCTACAAACCATCACGTAACATAAAAGACATAAAATATGTCCTCTGTGTCATATGTATTATGAGTTATTATTTAATGTTCAGTGTCTTATAGAAATGTAAAACAGAGCAGGAGAGATTAGTAGAGATATTCAAAGTGACACAAGTGAAGACAACACCACATGCTGCTAGAGGGAACATTGCGCTACTGTGCATGCTACCTGTTCCACCCTTCTAATCCTCTTTCAAGATATCCTTAAATTACCAGTTCAGAACAATATAATGTCATGGATGAAATATTCCAACTTTACAAATTCTCTGTATGAGTATGAGGGGTGAGCCATAAAAACCAGCCCTCGCACTGCGACCTTCAATGATCTATTGTGCGTCCCCTTTGGATTAAACCTTTATTAATCCTACACTTCGAATGAAATGTAGGACTTTATTTATGGGGGCATCATAAAAGGCACTTGGTTCCAAAATTCTCTGTATACATTTTTCTTAGATTTTTTCATTTTATAAAATTTGTATTGTTATTGTCCGGGGTTTGCTTGACTAATAAGAACGGTTTTGGATTTGATGATCGAATTTATTGTACCTTTATACAACTGGTTACAACAGTTCACAAATCACTGACGCACTGTCTTCTTCCAAATGGACATTCCATGGGAACTGTTCCAACTTCCAACTGAACTCTCTGTTATTGTTGTCTTTTTGTTATATAGCCTCAAGCGGCCTCCGTGGTCTAGAGGTAACGTTCCCACCACATGACTCGTGGTATGCGGGTTCAGACCCGGCGGAGGTCGTCGAATTTTTAAGGGCGGAAAAATTCAGGGAACAAGTCCTCTGGGAGGGACTTTAAGCCGTGTATCCCATGTCATAGCTTTACGGCACATAAAAGAACCTCGTATCTCCAAAGGAGGTCACTGAGCCAAATTCAAGGATGTTTCCCGCCCAACAGTAGTCTCTGATCCTCTGATAGATGGGGGAAGCATTATAGATACCGCCAAGCTAGTGGGGGCCGAACTCGCTGGCTCGGTCGGGACTGATGGTACACACCAATATCGGTAGGGTATAGAGACTGGTAGAATATCATAGAGGGAAGCACAATGGACCAGTACTGGTCTAAGTGCATGGGGAAACCCACCCTCTCCAATAACTAACTAACTATATAGCCTCAGGTCAGTCAACAGCACAGAAAAAACATCCATTGCCTAGTAATGGATATATGTGAACCCACACAAAAAACACCTCTTGCGACACCAGTTCTATTGTTGTGGGCTTATTTACTGAGTTGTCCCTTAGCAAATGGGTCTGCATGTCACAGTATATATTTTAATGTAATATTAAACCATGTAATGAATTCCTTAAAAACTTTGCAGGTACATGAAGGCAGTCGCAGATGGGGAAACGATAGTGATCGATTGCAGCACCTTGAAAGCTGGCAGGAGATTGGCTTTCCTCAGTGTGGAAATCACAAAAAAACAGACAGGGGAACTAGTCGCAAGGGGCTCACACACCAAGTTTATTGGAAGCTAGATCTTCCAATCAGTGCAGTCAGTAGCCTTTCTGAGTTCACTGGATGCTACTGTATATATTTTCAGGCACATGGTAATATATGGATAGCATTTAAATAATATATCATCCCTCTTGTTTTGTTGCTTTGAGTTTTCCTTCTGATGGTATTTATATGAGACAGATAGTCAACCTTTAATATCCTGTGGAGTCTGTGGGACTGACTAATTCAAGTCCTGAAGTGTCATCATTGCTACGATAAAAGCCTCCCACTGGATATTATCCTCAGCCAATAGAGTCTGGCCATAATAATTGACCTTTAACATGCATTCTTTCCCCAGTCCTTCCACACAAATGCCAGCATAGCACTTCAGATTAGCCATGACTGCTTCCTTTGACTTCTTTCCATTTCGTTATTTACAGACTTCATCATCATAGTGTGGGGTGTTGAATCTGTGGACTGTGGTGCTGCCAGCTGGATTTGAATTGAGATGTAATGTGGTGGCATTAGCACCGAGAAAAAGAATGCACAACCAGCAGGACTACTGTGTATGCCATTACAGTAGTCTAGTCAACAGCCACTGCATGCCTGTTTAATGCTGTACAGACCAAGCTACTGATAGTACTGTTAAATGAAACATAAAAAGAATGTCCATTGTGTTGTATTCTCCATCCTCTTGAAACATCTCAGCAGTTGGTTCCCCATTGTCATGTAGGAGACAGAATGTATGAGGATCCTTCTATCAGACTTTTCCTCCATTATCTTTTTACTGAGCAGATTGGTCTAGCAGCAGGATTGTATTGCAGAGGTACTCAGTTTGAATCTTGGCTGGGACACTGCCTATCCTGATTATGCTCTTCCATGGTTGGACAAATGCCAGATGAGGCCATTCCTTCCAAAACATTTTTAATTCATCATCCACCTACCCTCTGATGATATATGTTGTGTAGATACTGAAAGTGTAAACTACATCCCACTCCCCAAATCATGTAGTTCAGACAGCAGTCGTTACAATTATACCTGCAGGTGCAAAGCAGTTTGAACACAGACATGACACACGGTGAATATGTCGTGAGGAACTGAAATACAGTAATTGTAATGGTAAATTTTATTGATATTTAAGACAGGATCTAAGAATTAACTCCTATAAAGTACTCAGAATTACTTGGTTTTTAGACTTTTTCCATTGTCCGGTATTCTAGAAACTAGAAAACATGATGTCTCAGAAACTGGATCTGTGTCTGTCCTCAGGCAAGGAAGGAAGACGCCTACTCAGTTGAGTCCCTTAGAAAGAGCTAACCTCAATCGCTGAATAACCCACCCCCTTCACCTGAGGATGGAAACAGATCCAGTTTCCAGAGTACACCATTGTCAGAACCCTTTAGAATTTACTTCCTATTAAGTACCATAAAATGTAAAGTTGTCCCTGTGCTTCACAAATTAAGCACTGTGCCATTGTATGAGGGAGTGGATGTATAGATTCACATTTTCTTGACATCTGCATTAGCTTGAGGTGAGTGGTCAGCTTCATGCCCCTGCCACTTTGCCCCCAGAGGAAGAGCCCCAATACCCATCAGATAGGAGCTTGGTGGACCCCAGAGCCAGTCTGAACAATATAGAGAAGAGAAAATTCTGAACTACTGGGACTCAAACTCCAACCCTTCGGTCATTCAGCCCATAGGCAGTCAGTATACCGACTGCACTACCCTAGCTCATATAAAGTACCATACACATATCAAAAATTACAGTCTTCCGGGATGTGCCGCAATGCAGTTTGGTAGATAGGTACCAGTGTCGCAAGAGGAATCCACTGTGTTCGTCTTCAGAGTAGAAGAGTGAAAACATTTTTGGGGGGCTATCTTGTTGGAATTCAGTATTTCTAGCTCTGTGCCTGTGAAAGTGGCATTTTGTTTCATGCCAGACACTTCTTTTTAAATTCGCTTAGTGGGGGGTGGAGTCCAACTGGATTCACTGATTGCCTATTGTAGCCTGCCCTGGGTGATTATGATGATGAAGAATTTGGTGGAATGAAGATTGGCGGGGGAAACCGAAGTACTCGGAAAAAACCTGCCCCAGCGCCACTTTGTCCACCACTTGACCAGACCTGGGATTGAACCCAGGCCGCCGCGGTTTAAAGCCAGCGACTAACCGCTTGAGTTATGGCGCGGCCCCTGCCAGACACTTTGTTACATATCCTTTAAAATCATTGAAGTTTTTGGTATTGGCACAACGGAAATGTCATTCTTGACTTAGCTGCACAGGAAGAAATCAGCTGACTGTGGTGAAAAGGGAACAATATGTCGTTCACTTGACTGGTCAAGCAGTGGCTCACTTCGAAATGGTTTTTAAATTACTGTGATGCAGCAGTGCTACATGTTGCAGTGTCTATTCAGGATCCAGTAGCTGGGACATCAGTTGAACTCTGATGTGTGCTGTGATTCGTGGTAAATTATCTTTGTTGAACAGTCAGTGGTATTGTATTAGTTCAAAATGCCTTTTTGTCATTTGTATACATACTAATTGTAGTGTTCCACCATCGCTTCTATACTGTATCGAATATTTTTAATTAACGTTTGCCCCATTGGGTGCAAGAATTTTCAATTCTCCATGTCATCCAGATCAGCTCTGGGGCCCACCCAGCCTCCGATCCAATGGGTACCAGGGGCTTCTTCCCTGGGGATAAAGCGGCTGGAACGTGAAGCTGACCACTCACCTCCAACTAGTGCCAAGGCCAAGAAAATGTGGGTCTATACATCCATTTTCCCCATATGCCTTCATGGTGTAGTTCTTAATTAGTTAAGCACAGGGAAAACTTTACTTTTTTTTTTTTTTTCCTCCCTTGGCACTACAGCCCCAGTGGGCCTAGGTCTACCTCCATGAACTTCTCCAAACTTTACCTTTACCTGTGTCATTTTTTATGGTAGTATGTAGAGCCAGTCTAATAGGCTGCTGGCACTCAAAGGGTTAAAAGGTGAAGAAATTAACTTTTTAACTACCAAATTTCAGATAATTTTATTATGGTATGTTCTTTATAATACTTATTAGAAATTTTGGCTTCTTTCCAAATACATGTATGTACATTCTGTGTCATGAAAGATTCTGGTGGAAATTAAAATAGTACAAACAATAGACATTAACATACCACAAGTGGCTGCACAATCATGATGATGTAAATGACAACCTTCTGTAACAAAAGCATTACATAAATACATAAAAACTAATACATGTATAGGATTCCTTGCCAGACATGCCCATTCTAGGCATAAAATGGAGACAGGGAATCAAAGTGTAGTGTACAGCAGTGGTTCCAATCTCTGTGGCCCACAGCCCACAAGCTGCTATGAAGAAAAGCTTGCATTGATCTCCTATACATCTAGGAGATACCTCCAAAAACTTGGAGCCAGAATAAAGAAACAGAATATACATAGAAACTTGCTTGTTTCTGTTAAAAAAAAAAAAGGACAACTGAAACATTAGTATATAAATAACAGTCAATTCCAATCAGGCTTGGGGAACGGGAAGGCAAAGGTATGAAAGGAGTAGAGGAATGAGAGACAGGGATGAAGAAACTATTGTTAACATGAAGGAAAGGGGACATAAAGAATTAAAGCAATAGATTAATGGACAACTGATGGAAGAGAACTTCTAATGTGAAGGGGAGAGAGGAAGGAAGGGGGAAAGGAATGATCACAGGACTGACAAAAGGAGGAAAGCAGTAAGGGAGACAGGTGGAAAAGAGACAAAAGTATGAAAGGGATACAGGAAAGAAAAAAAAGAATACAATTCTGTGTTATTTTTGATGGGTCACGTGCGACTAGTGATATAAGAAGAAGAAAATTTTCAGTACCATGATAACCTGGTATCCAGAATTTGTGCAGGCCTTCATTTTTCAACTGAGGCCTGTGAAAGCAAATTATGAAACATTACATTTCCTTTGTGTCTTTCCCAGCATTCTCTTGTGTCCACAGCTCTTCATTCATGGGAATGAAAGCGTTCTGCTAGTGTAGCAGTAACTTGTATACAGCAGGCCGCGCCATAGCTCAGGCGGTTAGTCACTGGCTTCCCACCGCGGTTGCCCGGGTTCGATCCCAGGTCTGGTCAAGTGGGATTTGTGGTGGACAAAGTGGAGCTCGGGCAGGTTTTCTCAGAGTACTTAGGTTTCCCCTGCCAATCTTCATTACACCAATTGCTCCATAATCACCTCACCTATCATCTGGGGCTGGTACAATAGGCCAGAAGTGGCTGCAGTACAAGGGACTTAGTCCCACCCCACTAGCATTAAAGAAATCTTGTATACAGCAGGTACCAGCTGCCACCTGTCACATCATGTGGTTTCCCTCAGTCTCCTTCAGCAAGTGCCGGGGTAGTCGCTTCAAGTAGGGTACAACCATCTCCGCCCAAATTCTTACTCATTCAGTGGTCACAATCATTTCACACTGTGTAACTTCTTCAGTTACAGTAACAGTCTTCAAGATTCAAATGATCATCCATAAACTGAAAAGGAAGAAAAGATAAACAGCCCCTGTGCCTAACCCCCACACTGTGATACATACTGGGGACTGTAGTCAAACTTATTAGTCTTGGGTCCTGACTTCGTATGAAATTTTTAGCTTACTCTTCCGATTTTAAAAAAACATAAGTAAACACATGGGATCACCTTGCTGTCTGCTGTGTTATCTATCTGTAGGTGTATCCCCCTCCCCATAGCCATTGCTGGGCAAGTACTCAATAAACACATTCCCATAGCAGTGAATATATTCAACAGAAGAATTGTTGGACATGGCATTTTCTGTGCAGCCTGTATCATATCAAAGGGAAGTATGTGTGTCTTTATGTTTATCCCTCTATCATTGTTAGGCAGTGGATCGGTAAACATTTCTGTGGCAATGAATGCACATGCAGTAATAGAAGAATTGTTGAACACATCGTTTTCTATGTAGTCTGTTATATGAAAGGAAAGTAGATGATTAGTTCTCCCCAGAACTTCTTGCAAAACAGGCGAGTCTTTGAAAAACAAAAATATAATCATGGGTCCTGACAGGACCTCAAACCAAGAATGACTTTGTTGGCAAAGTTCAACAGCAATTTACCTTATGGATTTAGATGAAATGGCACTGGAGCTAGTTTTTCTCCTGCTAATTATCATCAAACCACTTTTCCATACTCATCTATCACTCCTCTATTACCTAAAATTCTGGATGATGGAAAAAGTCCAAAACCCCAGTAATTCTGTGTGTCATCTTATCACTGCCCCATGAGGTGTGTAATAGTCCTTGACAAGCAGTAGATTATCATATCCTTGGTCTTTAAGTTGGGAGCTTCATCTCTGACTCAGCATTTGTCCAATTGGACTAAAGAGTAAAGTTACAGAAACAACAAATGACCTTGAAATGCAAACTGTATGTAAACTAATCCCTGTGCTTAAACCTCTGTTAATTAACATTGTCTCCAAAATGTTCTGAAGTTCACATTCAGACTGTGTTAGTATTTCATCCTGTCATCAGATGGCAGATTTATGTTCTTTGACCAATGAATACATTTTATTTATCAGTATACATGAAAAAAAGATGAAAAAATAAGATAACTCTGCAACAGCAGGGACTTGCTGCCCTGTAAATGTAGCTGTAGGGGACAGGGAGGTGACTCAGGGCAATAAGGCAACCAAAGCATACGGGGGAATGGAGGTAATGTTCCATTCTCTCAGACCCAGCCTGAATTCCATGGCAAGGGGAAAATCCCTGTTGCTTCCAAGGATTGAACCTTGGTTGTTCAGTCTGTAGCCAGCTACCACAATGACTCAACGACTGAACTATCCAAGCTTCACTAACTTAACACAGAATCATAAAATGATCTCCATTAACTAACAAGTGCTCAATTATGGTAAATTTTGTTGTATGTGCATTAGTGAGACTGCTGAATGAAAGAGACTGGATTTCTTATAAATGCTCAAATCAAATGATTCTCGAAACATTTGTTGTGACAGTTGTCAATTCATTATACAGATATCCCCAGACTTTACATGATAGCTGTGTTCGAAGAGTGGCTCCATAAATCAGAACTATATAACTCAGAATATTTGTTATTGTGTCATTTTCCTTATTAAAAATATGTAACCCAGTTAATTTCAACTTTATTAATTTTATTTGTGAAGGAATCCTGATTCCTTTGTTTTATATAAATAATTATTTATATAAAACAAAGGAATTTTGTTCATTAAATTCCTTTAATAAACACTAGTGTTTATTAGTGTTTATTAAAGGAATTTAATGAACAAAATCCACACTGAATCATATTAATAATATTATGTTTGGGACTGTTCACTGTATGGGGTATATTTGATATATAAATGTTTTGGGCTTAGTTGCAACTCTTGAAACGCATGCATCAAATATACCTATGACATAATACTGGCATAGCATTTACTTGAATGGCACCAAAGGGAACTCAGTAGATCAGGGAATGGTAACTTAGCAGCTCTGTATTTGCATCGCTGACATGTACAGGCCAGAGTCCAGACGCTGAATTGTCTCCATGTTAGGCTGTGACCTACAGACAAGAACCACTGCTGCTTCCAGTATGGGGAGAAATGAAAAACCACTACAAGCTACAGTAAAATGATGTCATGGCAGTGTTACATATTACAGTATGGTCAATCAATATCAAGATGTGGCAACAATAAATACATATTTAGATTGTGGTCTTTTATGTTGTGACACCATATAGTCCGGTTGGTGTTAATAAGTGTTTGGAGGAACATACTGCCTCAGTCTTAAGTGTAGAAGTTAGTCAAATTGGGTAAAAGGAAAGATTATGTAGGAAGGGAGGAAGAACAGCGTCAGACAAAACAGGACAATTTTCCAGTCAGAGTCAGGAATGGGGGGTGGCCCTGGGAGGGTAGTTCTGAAGGGACAACTATGAAAAGGTAGGAGACTCTGAACTACATGGGGCTCTTTAAGGACTGTCAGCATAGGAAAAAAAAAACAAGTCGGGACTCCCCCCCCCCTTCAGGGTGTAAATAGGAGCCTTCAATGACCTACTCAGGAAGAAACAATTTTCCTTGTTCATGTTGTTGGGGTGCAGCCACTCATGAAAAGAAAGCTCTTTTGAATGACAAGTCTTGACTTAATTTTCTTCTGCCCATGATATTTAGAATTGCCCTTTTGTGGTCAGCATTTTCAGGAACCTCCATCCTTTCATAATCATTCTTTTCAGGGCTCCCAATTCCCATTAGCTATCCAGGGCCTGGTCGCATTTTTCCCATCACTGGATCTGACTGGCCAGTCCTGTACTCCATGCCCTGTCCCCCACCTATCCCATCTTGACTCATTTCTACCCTGAAGATGGAGACAGCAGGTTCCTCCAAAATATTAGTATTCACCTACCAGACTACACAGTATCATTACCTAGAAAAGCACACTGTACATCTTCATGACCTCAGATCTAATAAATACCTGGTCTGTGGAAAGAGTTGCTACTCTCACTTGTTTCCCTTATCTCTGCAACATCTAGGGCTGTCAATTCTGAGAATAAAAATAATCAGTACTTTGTTGATTTCAGGAAAAATACAGGGTTACAAACGCATACCACACACTGCCTCAATATTCTACTTGCATATAGTCTCTGCTTACCAAGTCACATGTGGACCATTCTAGGCAGACTATCAGTACAAACCCCCAGGTATAGTGAATGAGAAGTTCTCCTCAGTACATCCTTATGAATACTGAAAACATCCCTGAGTTTATAATGCCATGTAGTTCAGAGACAGATTATGTTTCAGCAGGGCACATGGCTTCCATCTTCAGAATCAAAGAGAAGCCATGAAAGAAACAACCTGGCTCAACCTGGCACCTGCTTCTGATGGTTTATTCCTTGGCTTACTCTCTGACATATATGAGACAAACACCATCTTAAGTGTAACAATTTAATTGTAGTTCTTTTTTCTTTCCCTACAATTAAATTAAATTGTTACACTTAAGACGGTGTTTGTCTCATATATATTGTGTGAGTGTAACAGGATGCTCAAATATAATACAGAAGTGGTCATGAAGAACATGACGCAGTATGTTCCTCTGAAAAGACAGTATGTCTCCAGATTACGCAGCATTACAACGCAGATGAGCGTGACCTTCATCACTGTTATCATCACAACATACCAGAGGCTGTGGTCTTCTGGGATGAGATGCCATGTAATATAATGGCCAGACACACAACTGTCTACCAGACTACACAAAGATGATTGCAGTCTTAACATTCATTCCTATGCAAACCTCAAATCTCATATGAAGGTACTGTGATTTTTGACAGGGGTACTCAGTCTCTCCATACTAACACCTTGAATGAGGCCACAGCATATTCTTATCAGTAACTTCTCATCAGTCATCAGAATAGAAACAGCCTCCCCTTAATAAAGAGCCACGATTTTCAAAATCTTGGCTACATATTCCACTAACTTTTTATAAACTTGAAATAGAGTATAGGCAACATAACTGCTTGAATATTTCAAGCTGAAAGATGTTCAAGGCCATGCAGAAGTAGTCACGAAGAATGTGGTGATAATCTCATGCTCCATGGAACATGCAGAAGTGCTCACAAAGAACATGGCACTGTTCGCATGCTCCATAGGACATGCAGAAATGGTCACCAAGAACATGGTGCTGCTCACATGATCCATGGAACATGCAGAAGTGGTCATGAAGAACATGGTGATGAGTGCATGCTCCATGGAGCTTGCAGAAGTGGTCACAAAGAACATGGCACTGATCACATGCTCCATAGGACATGCAGAAATGGTCACCAGGAACATGGTGCTGCTCACATGATCCATGGAACATGCAGAAGTGGTCATGAAGAACATGGTGATGAGTGCGTGCTCCATGGAGCTTGCAGAAGTGGTCACAAAGAAGATGGTGCTGATTGCATGCTCCATAGGACAAGCAGAAGTGGTCACAAAGAATGTGGTGATGATCGCAGATTCCATGGAACATGCATAAATAAGTCACGAAAAACATGGCACTGATCGCGTGCTCCATAGGACATGCAGAAGTGGTCACCAAGAACATGGTGCTGATTGCATGCTCCATAGGACATGCAGAAGTGGTCACCAAGAACATGGTGCTGCTCACATGCAGAAGTGGTCACCAAGAATGTGGTGCTGATACCATGCTTCTTGACAGGACCAGCTTTCTTCAATGTACAACTTTTCTTTATCACATTGAGAAGGCCTGTGTGTCCTAGTGACTGAAACAGAAATGCTGGTGGGAGTGTAAGCTGTTGGTAGAGCTATCCATGCCAGGCACATCACTAGGTATGAACCCAACACAAAATAATCCTTAGCCCTCTGTCTTGGGGCTACCTGGAGGCCAGAAATTTCCTGCTATAAACAGATAAAAATTCAAAATGGTGAATAAATGAAAGACCAAATGAGAGTGTCTCTTGGATATGGGTCATCCACCCACAGAAAAACAGAACAAAGAGTTTAGCCTTGGAATGAGTTACTAGCCAATATCTTAATGGGCAGAAGAGCAGGGGAGGTGAGTCAGTGATCATCATAAGCAATGAAGTAAACAAAATTTCATCTTACACAATGTGACATTAAAAGTCATTCCTGACAGCTAGATAGATGCCCGAAAGGTCACGATTGGAAGCAGTTCAAATTATTTTTCATACCTATCAATTCCCCATTCATACTGTATAGGATATGTGAGGCTGAAACAGAACAGAACTGAAATCGGAAGCATACAGTCTTCAGGAGTGCAACTGAATGTGAACCAGAAATCAGCATAAACTGTAAGGAAACCCAAAGCTAATTCACTTAACTTAAAATTTATGTTATGTGTAAGATCATACGGCATCCATACTTGCATGACAACAGTTGGCAACCCTGCGTGTGATAGACAGGCTTGCTCATCTTACACATACTATGGCTTGTGCTTTGTTATACCAGCATCTATAACAGGGGTGGCCAGATCATGTGGCTTCCACATAATTGAATCCAAACTTTTCTTATGTAAGACTTAGGCAGAGAAGAAAATATGAGATGTTCGACCAGCTTTCCAGCCCTGTACAAGAAACAAAGACATTTTCCGTGACTGGTCTATGCTGTATAAACATACGATAATAATGAATGAATTCTATTAAAAAGGGATGAAAAGGGCGACTTTATTACATCTGCTGGGGGAAGTTATACATCTAAGAATATAGTGAATTGATTATTTTGATATACAGCTCTTAAAGTTAGAAATTTTGGCCACCCCTAAGCAATAATAATTGAACAAAATCTTATACTACTTTACATTCATCTTTAATTCTAAGTACTACAGTTATAAAGCCAAACTTCGAAGTAAAATGCTTCAACTTGAAACTGAAAGACGGCAATGGGCTGAGGCAAAAGACTACATATAGTACAGTTGAAGCTATGCACTCTGTTCATGCTTGCCATTTCCCCAGGTTGCTCATGTGTGCTAACAACATGGCAGCAATCCTACAATGGCCTTGATATTGCAACTAAATCATGAAATTTTCATTTACTGTTGTCTAAAGACCTGCTGAAAGTAATGCAAGTGCCTACATTCCTGTTGTTGGAGATACACTTGTCTGTGATGGTTATGCTCCCTGAAGAATTCATTACACATGTCTTATATGAACCCCAATTATGCTGAATTAAAAAATGACATCCATTTTTATCCATCACATATGTATATTCGCAAATAGTAATATGATATCAGTACTCTATAACAGTGATTACTGTGGTGCTAACAAAGCATCTTGGTAGATTATATTGCGCTGATGGTGCCACTCACTGTGGGGGCTTATATCTACATCATATCCCACTGCAGTCGCCACTCATACCTCCATTCAGCTTTACTCTACTTCCCTAGGGCTTCCAGGATAAATTTTGTTATGGGTTTGAACATTCTGCATTTACGATGTTTAAGGAAGCAGTTTGGTGTGAGGGCAGGAATGAATCCTTCTAACTTCACTTTTTCCCCCCTGTGAGGGGTAATTTAGTCTCTGAAGTACTGCTATGACCTCATGAGACTCGCTTTCTACTACAGCATCCCTCATGCCGATATACGCAGGAAAGATTTCATACAGAACTGGCTCTCTTTCTGCTACCATGTCATGAAAAGTTTTGAAATAGGAAACTTCCTCACTGATTGTCATAAAGGGAGAACAGAGCATGAAGCATGCATATAACAAAGAAATTCCTCCCCAGACTTAGTTTCATATAAGGTTCAAAAGGTATAACGCAAAAGTTTGGTTGACACAAACAGATGTCACCTCCAATATATTTAAAACTGGGCTTGATGAAGCACTCCGTGAAGGCAATGGACAGGAATGGTCACTATATGACATATATCTGAGGCAAATTTTCAGCTTTCCTATATAAGAAGTTAACCCTGCATGCTAGTTTTTAAATCACCACTACATTGCACTCTCAGGAAGCATTTGAATTGATCTGCTATGAGGGGTTAATGCAGTGTTACCTGGCTTTAACATTTTGACCAAGAAATTATATTTGTGTCAGTTTAAAAGACACGATAGCATTGCTGCCACCTGGCAGAGCACATGGCTTGAAACAGTAAGCATGAATGAAGCATAAAGATAAATGCATTATATAATACAGTAAAACACGTAAATTGTAACTGTACATTAATAAAACACATGAAGAAACACTCAAAATATTAATGTCACTACTCCACTCAGTTTCTTGTTTGACTAGTAGTGGGTATTCGTTTCTGGCAGTACAACCTGGCTTTAAAAATATCCCAGTCAGTCAGCACTTGGCTCAGTGGACACATTATGCACACATAGGACAGCATTCTCCATCTTGTCGGATGGGTGTTGCGCATGTCACAAGGGGACACTTTTCTGTCGTGCATGTCACCTGCTTTTCCTGCACAGTGAAACAAGACACTTAAGACAATGGAGATTACTGTTATCTGGGATATGACACCATTCAGTCTTGTAGACAGGTACCAACACTTTGACCCTAGAGGTGGAGGCAGCAGGTTCCCCTGAGATGTTGGTATCTTTCTATCAGATTACATAGTTTCACACCCCGAAGACAGTCATCTTTATATTCACTGCTGAAATAAGCTCCAATCTCACACTAAGATTAAGCTGGGAAGTGAAGCAGTTTATTCTAAAAGATAACATAGTGTTTTGGAGGAGCTTGGTGCCTCTATCTTTATGGTCAAAATCGTGGTATCTGTTTATCAGACCATATGCTGTCACATTCCAGGAGACAGTTATCTTAACCTTTAAACGCCAGACTTTTGAAATGGTAGTAAGCTTGAGCTGGCCGGAGTTTATTTAAATGTCCGTTGTAACTCTGCGTTTAAATGTCTGTTCCTGTTAGGGCGCTTAAACAAGTTTAAGCATTGTGTTTAAAAATGCTGTATCTAACATAAATTTTATGATAAATGGATGGAATTAACTTTGTTTGTATCAACAAAGAACATAGTGTCGCATATTATAATGGATGATTTCAAATTTTTGTACAAAAAATTATACTCTTTTTTTCTATTTTTTTCTTTTAATTTTGATACGTACTGCAAAAATATTTCTCTATTAGTGTTGATAACCTTCATGTTTCATTGCCAAAATTCAGAAGCATAGACTGCAAGCCAACTTCAAAAGCTTCACTTAAGTATTTTCTTTGTATAAGATCACAGTGGTATTCAGTAGTTAATAACTAACCACACAAGCACAACCAAGACCCAAAATACAGTTACGCCTCAGAAGTACATGAACACACAAGTGCCCACCCCCCTTCGCCCACATGCACCATTTTGAAACAACAAAACCCTTTTTCTAGATATCTTTCTTTTTATGCCCAGAATGACTATGGCATTTTTTCAGCTTTTGGAAAATAGCCACATTATGTGTTAGGCTCCTTCTGATTGCGTAGGATCACACTTCACAGCTCCACTCACAATCCCACAATAAGATCTTTCTTCAGGTTGTGCGCTCATTCCACCTCACTGAACCCGAAGACAGCAACTACAATGTATGCTGAAATGTTCAAACAATTTCAGCACATGAGGCAGCTAAACTTCAAAAGGTGAAATTACACATTTTTCTGAATGAGCATGAATAGGATATGAATGACCCCAGAAAACGTACAGACAGGAGCCACGACCCAACCCACCTTGCAAACGCATTGTGTACAGCTGTCCTTCTTCCATGAGTCTCCTTTCTTCCTCCAGTTGCCATCTGAATCCATACACTTGCTCCCATTACCATGCTTGCCATTAACTTGGATGTGATGTTCCAACTTTCTGATCTTGCGTCGCAGTTGCTTGATAGTTTTCTGGAATTCTTCCAGGGCACTCTCAATGCCTTCTATCCTCTCCTCGTCTACTTCGTTAGAGTCAAGGTGGAGTGAGTTGAGCGTAGAGAACTCGCCCAATACATTTGGACTCTGTGTAGGGACAGTGTGGTTGGTGTAGGTGGGAGTGGTGAGCGTCACATGTTTGTCACTGGGGTAGGAGTACTCCAGGGCTCGCCGTGATCGTCCAGATGTTAATGATGGCAGCTGTGTGAGGCTGTTGAACTGTCCCGAGTTACTGCAGTCTGTTGCATACAAACAAATTTGAACACTGAGTTCATCTAAATAATGTTCAAAAATTCATTTCCTACCACATGGAAAACACACTATGTCTCCATTACAAACGCCATTTTGTTAATGCTCTATAGAAAAATAATTGCTGTTTACTGTGAGAATCATAAATGTTACTGTGCGGGCCATATACAGAGTTATTTAATGTTCAAGCAGGTGATACATACAGTAACAACTGTGCTTTATAATCCTGACACCCAATTTTAAACCAAAGAACCATCAATTACTTTTTATCACTGTTTTTATTGCATTAGGTTTAAAGTGAATGCATTTTTCTCTAATTTAAAAAAGCTAGCTGAAGCTATCCCTGTAACAGGCCATGGAAGCCCATATGGTTGTGAGACGCTGAAGGTCACACAGTATCTAGACAATCGGCTCACAGATGGCGGTAAGGTTGTCAGCCTTACATGCTGGCCACCCTTTACCCCCAGAAAGATTCCTGGTACTCATTTCTGTTAGAGAGTGAGTCGACCCCAGGGCCATAGGGCAGCTGGAAGGATTAGGTCAATTGAAAATTCCTAACGACCTCATTGGGAACTGAACCCACTTGTAGCATAGTACCTCAACCAACTACACTACCACATGTCCCCTCTTATTTAAAACATCCATTCAAACGTTTCTGAAGTCCTGTTAAAGATATTTTATTTATACATTCTAAAGTGTTGGTGTGCAAGTTATTTAAAGACACTTTATGAACTGAAGATGTTATGTGCCTTAAATAACATAAAAATGAATATGTACAGCAAACTGAAAGAGATCAGAGGGGAAGCAGGAATGGCACATTTCAAAGCACTATGACAGCACTAAATAAAATCACAAGAACCTTCAGTCAGTGTCTCAGCTGATATTCAAAATGGATACCTCTCAAATTAGTCACTACCATAGTACAGTAGCCTGTACCAGCCACTGACAACAGGTAAGTAAGGAGCACTGATGGAATGGGAATGGGAGATAATGTAAGTGGTCAGAGAAATGCCTGCTCCATTGCCATTCTGTATTCCACTAATCACTTCAGCTATGGCACAGCCCTGCCACCTTACCCATTCTGCTCAATTCACATTTGACATGCTTCCTAAATAAAAGGAATATGGTGCAAATGCTCACACACACACATGTGGGACAATAAACTTCTGTAGAAAATGTTATATACAAGAAGATACATAAAATATGGCAGCTAGGTTAGGGACGAGTGACGAGGAAATGTGATTCAGGTGCCACAACTAGTTCACCCCTAAGTCATCACTGGTTCTACATGATGTATTATCATATTGATCACATTTTCTCTGGCAACCAGCTATGTCAATCTCGAGCAAGCCTAGAGACCTGTGCCTCTGTGATCAGGACACATCGATATATCTTGTAGTCTGTAGTTTATTTACTGACACTGCTGGGAACTGAGACAGTACAGTATTGAATGTTTGGATGATAGTTAATAATCAACTCCAAAGCATGGGGAAAGAAGCAGTCATGGCCTAATTTATTATACTCTCCTGGCATTTGCCTGGAGGGACTACAAAACACCATGAAGAACTTCCAGTTTCTACATTTTATGTCCTGACAGGATTCACACCAGGAAGCTCCCACATATAAATCAGGGGCATTATTGCTTGAGCCAACTAGCTCAGTGATGGAGTTATTCCCTGGTGATGGAGACAGAGAAGGTTTCTGAAACATTAGACTGTTGCTTCAAATTGATGTGTCTTTTCACCTGAAAAGATTACAAACCTTGTAGTCATCAATAAAGCGTCATGTCTTACATCAGTGTCGTATGCTACCAGGACTAATTTTTTATTGGAGAATGCAGATATAGTCCTCTGACCGCCTGGTCCTGCCACAGAACTGTCTGCTACAAATACCAAGGCTGCTTGGGGTTAAATGCATTTATACACAAAAATCCAGAATATTTCCTCAGATGACCTTCAAATGATGACAGGTATAGAGATGAAGCCTATTCTTTACTCTACACATCTGTATGCCCTAATTGATGATCTCTGTTCACAGGAATGATGTACTAATTGATTCACAATGAGCCAATCTTATTGGCTGTGGCAGTTTTAAAGCATAGTTAGCATCTTAGTTCCTTTTCGTTTCATAGAACTAAGCAAGTTGGCTCCACTGGCCACTAAGATGCTTATTGAGGAAATGTCATTGTTTTTCTCAGACATTCCGATCAAATGCCAATAGTATCTTAAATTAAGACATAGCCTCTTCTTTTACATCATTTACAATTCATTTAGTGTCATCCATCCATTTGATAAACTACAGTCTGAGTTATTCACAGCATTAATAAATAAACTACAAATAGATAGATAATACCATACAATGTACATACCATGGCAGCACTCAGCCCAGAACCGAAGATCAATCTGTGTCAATTCACTGCAGGACACAAAAGCTGGAGACTGCTTCTTGGGCAGAATAAACACATCCATTGTCACATCAGTAATATCATCTCCATTGTCACAAAGAACACGTCCCAGTGACGTCTGTTTGATCTGTGTCAGCTGTTCTGGTTTAAACACTGATGGGTTCTCATACCAAAACCTATACAAGATGCAGACCAACTAGTTACTGCCTGTGAAGGCAGAAGAGGATCTCCTGCTCAATGGACAAGAAACCGTGTTAGCCAAAAGGGTCAGATGAGTTGCATAAGCTTGTACATCTGCCTGGACATTAATTTATCACAACTGACTGAATGATACTCATGAAACTGAGTATAAACAGCAAACCACCAGAGGTCGTTTAATCTTAATGTTTTTTCATTTGTTCAGAACAAAATTTGTAAAGATGCACCTATTAGCTTCAGAATGTTGACTATCTGTCTGCCTGCATACAACATGCTAGCTGGATAATAGACTTCAATAAAATTTAGTAGTGGACAGTTATACTACCATTTGTCGACACATACCAACTTTACTTAAAATCAGACAATAGTAATGGATTCTACATGAAGACCTATATGCATTCCTGTGCTCACCTTGAGCACCACTCAATAAATATTTACCAGAGAGAAAGATATAATGACTGGCCACTTCAATTAGTCAATATCAGTTCATTAAATGGTGTCAGGTGAACATCATGCAAGCAATGGATAGTTACTTCAATCAACCAACATCAGTTCATTAAATGGTGTCAGGTGAATATCATGCAAGACTTGGCTGGCCACTTCAATCACTCAACACCAGTTCATTAAATGGTGTTGGGTGATTATCATGCCAGACTTGGCTGGCCACTTCACTCAGCCAACACCAGTTCATTAAATGGTGCTGGGTAAACATCATGCAAGCCTTGGCTGGCCACTTCATTCAGCCAATACCAGTTCATTGAGTTGCACTTGCATGCTGAATTTTGTGCAGCATTGTGTGTACATTCATTTAGAATATTACTTATCAAGCTGCAAATTTATTTTTAAAATGTTGGTTATGAAGTACTTCCTCATCCCTGTAAACTACAATAACCATTCATAGCATGTGATCCTGTAGCAGGTTGTATGGAATTAGCCTTACCATAGGGCTATAGAATTCTACAAGAAGGGCAGTCTATACCTGGTGAGAACATGCTTACTGTAGCCTGTAGACCAATTTCTGGGTAACAGTCATGAAACAATGCCCATTGCTAGGACAGCAGATTCTTAATAAATGGGGTCATGCAACCTGCTTCTGGGCAACAGCTTGGCAAACACATTTCCATGGCAAGGAACACAAATGCAACAGTAGAAAAACGGCGTTTTCTATGTGGTCCATGCAGACAAGTTATAACCAGGACAGTTTGAGGAATGAGTTCAGCTGACTTCTGCATGAAAGGCTGTGGAGATAGCACCTGAGCATGTGAAGCTGAAGAATCTCCACTGTTAGAAGCCACTTTTAGGGAATGGCTGGTGAAGATACAGCAGGCTGGAAAAGGCTTAGCAGGTGCTGTAGTGATTTGTAAAGTGTGTAGATCAGTGAGAGCACTGTAAGTGCTTGTAGTTCCAAGTCATGTATATAAGTGGTCAATAAATCCATTCACGAATCCAAACCCTGTCTACAGTTAACACACCAAAATCATGGCATTATGATGACCTGTGTGACGGGCCAAATGGATCTCTGGTATAGTCATACTTCGACCTATGACTTCCTGACTTATGCATATTGGGAATTATAATCCGGCTAAATTAGCAACCATTAGACCTACACACAAAATTTTTGGACTTATGTCTCGAAACTCAAATTTCAAATATTGGACAGTTTCTTCAGAAAGCCCAAGTTAATGGCAACCACTCTTCGGCATCCTCTACAAGCTGAGTCCCTCCCAAAATCTCCCATAAGCAGAGCTATTCTATCTGCAATCAACAAGGTGCTGGAGGCATCAGATTTTAATGAAAGGTTAATTTAAGTGTTTATGAACTTCGTAAATGCTCTGGTAACTTGAATCACGATTCTTAACAATCTACATTACAATGTTTTGGTCACTCAGATCATAACTCTTAATGATCTATAGTAAAAATTAATTATTGTATGTATGTTTACATTTTTAATAGTTTTGTGGGAACATCCCACATTATCACGCATTTCTGCAACGCTCAAGAGCCCCACAGTTTAAAAGTTTAATGTTGTGTTTCTTGATGTCCCTTTACTGATTTTACAATAAGACAGAAGAATTATAGCATAACAGGGGTTAAAATATTGAAAACTGTGTCTCAACCGTGATCTCCTGGAATGTAACTCTATATGTCACATGTTATAATGAACTCTATTTATTATTTTTGGTCTGAAGACTTGTTTTGGGCAACACACTTAGCTCTAAGTCCGAGGTAGATTGTATGTGTCCTTTTAAGAAGAAAACAAATAAATATCTAATTTCAGCTGAAATGGATTTTTGAGGCAAGAATATTATGGAAAATCAAATTTCAAAATCATATGATTAGAGAGAAAATCGCTTCCAAAATTTATTTTGAATGATATTAAAAACAAAATAATTAATATGGTATGGACATGGCCAAAGAATAGCCTTAACAAGTGCTACAATGCATACAACCAGGAAGAAGGAAGACCAAGAATTAGATGGATAAAGGGAATCTGTGATACAATGACAGAGAAAGGATAAAGGCCAGTGGATGGATAGAGTAGGATGGTGAATGGCAATCAGAAGACATCAGTGATGTTAATATGTTCACAGTTCCATAATCATTCTCATGCTGATCTGTCCAATTGGATGCTGCTTATAATATTCACCATCCAATACACCACAACTACTGACCTGTCACCATCACGGAGGCGTTGAAACTGCTCCACCAAGAGACACCTGAATGTTGGACCAACTTTAGCTCCATCTAGTTGATCTTCAAGAATACCACCAACCCAAATATCTAAGTTACCTGAGAACAAGAAACAAGTTACTTCAAACAATAGGAAACAGAGGTCTTTTTGTCTTTTTGTATAATACCTCTATTAATTTTCATTAGCTTAGGTCGTTTATCCAAGGAATCCGTCCAGGTCTGGGGCTTTGTGTAGGTAAACATTTGTCTGATAAATTTCCTATCCAGAATGGTCTAAAACAAGGAGATGCTTTATCGCCACATCTTTCCAACTTTGCCTTAGAATATGCAATTAAGAAGGTCCAGGGAAACCAGGTGGGACTGAAATTAAATGGGACACATCAGCTGTTGACCTATGCTGATCATGTGAATCTACTGGGTGATAATGTAGATACCATAAAGAAAAACACACAAACTTTAATTAACGCAAGTAAAGAGGTTGGTCTAGAAGTAAACACAGAGAAAACTAAATATATGTTA